TTTTTAGTTAGTCTGAATGAGGATCTAAAGAAGGTCCACATATTTAATTTGGCTGATATGCTTCCTAAATTTCTAATAATAATTAATCTTCTCCTCTTCTAAAAACTTTCTAGTCATTTGTTTGTTGAAAAACTTGATCATTTCTGCAGGAGAATTTTCCATCTAGACGGGATGGGTGCACTCTATGGTGTCAAGTTCTGCTATATATACTTCATGGTGAACCTAGTTGTAACTCTATGTATAAGCAGGTGCATGTGCAAATTTTTGGCAAGACTCTTTATTGGGTCTGTTTCTTACTGTATCACACAGGGAAATAAAATACTGTCCTTTTGTGATCTTAAAGCCGCCTGGCAGATACTGATTTTATCAGCCTAATCCAGCTAATGATTTCTAGCAGTTACTGACAATCCCTGTTTAGAATCTTTATCTCATTCAGGGTTGCAAAATGGTGATACTGGTGATATGCTAATTGTAAGATTGTTCTTCATGTATCAGCTGCAGTTCTTCCTCAGAGAACTTGTTCTCTTCAACTATTTAGTACTCTTTGCACAGAAGAAACAGGATAAGTAAATTCTCTGTCTACTGGTTTTTAGAATAATGAATCGATGCCCTCAGCAACGTCTAAAGGTTACTAAGATTTATTTTCAGTATCGTCATAAACTTCAGTATGTTTGATGTCCTGATGTGCATCAATTTTTTTTACGATTTTATTTGAGAGTGTGAGCGAGAGCGAGTGAGAGAGAGAGAGCGCGCATGCACAAGTAGGGAGGGGGCAGAAGGAGAAGCAGATTGCCCACTGAGCAGGGAGCCAAAGGCAGATACTTAACCTTGAGTGAGACACCCAGGTGCTCTGATGTGATGTGTATCAACTGATTGCAGTCATTGTATCCTACCTTTAGGCTAGTGGGAATGATTTCATGTTGGCTCATGTGTACATGGCATGAACCTAGTAGTCTTTCGTAGCTTCTTTGTTTTCTGATATGACAAGAAGTCCAAAATCATCTTGTATACACCCCAGTTACCTTCAGTGAGACTTCCTTTAAGTGTAACAAAAGGCGTGGGATGAGTTTCCAAAAGGTTGAAAATCATTGCTTTTTTGTATATATGCAAACCTGCATTTATTCTTTTCAAAGTTACAAAAGGTCTGACTCATTATTTCCAGTTCCTCTTTCATTTTCCCTAAGCTTCTTGCACAGAGACGGAGATTACAGACAGTATCAAAATATCTATGAACGTCCTTCTCTAACTCTGATTCATTCACTCCCTCAACCAATTTACTGAACTTCTATGAGGCGAGTAGAAAGGAATACAACTGCTGCGGAGGATCTCATGGTCTAGTAGAGGACATTAATGTGTTCACAAATAAATATAATATAGAATGACAAGTGTTTTAATAAGAATTTGGATAAGGACTATGGTTGGAGGTCATCTGAAAAGTCTTCAACTAAGGATATGGTACTTAAATACTAAGTATTACAAATACTGAATGAACGCAACTATTGCATTGCTTTGAAAGAGCATATTTTAAACTTATAAATTCAATTGTCACTTTAAAAGAATTGAAAAATTCAGTTAAAAAAAGGAAAAAAAATCAGTGTCAAGTATGCAATATTTTTACACTACTCTAAGATTTAATTATCAAATAGAAACAAAATTTAAAGATATGGGTAACACCTGCTGATATTATTGCCATCTTAGAGAATCCACAGCACAAGGAAATGCTATAAGTAGCTCCAAACAGACGGATCTGAGCAGTAAATAAAGTCAAGAAGAGAAAAGATAGATAACTTCTGTTCTCTTAAGAAGCAAGTATACAAAGTGGCAGCATAGCATGATCCTTTGATGACTAATTTCTTATATCTTCTTTACCATGTTTTTTTTTTTCATCTAGTAAAGCTCTGAACCAGTATTTATAGGGCGGCTCTCCCAAGAGAAAGGACAGAAGCCCACCCAATTGAGAAAGGGATAGCAGCTCCCCAAAGAAAAGGCTGTCACCAAATAAGAGATGTTTAGAAATACATTTACAGGTAGCTAAATGTAACTTTACTTTAAAAGTATCTCCCCAAATTTGGAAAGATGTATGTCCTAGCCATATTCCCAGAGGAGCCTTCCCCATTCCTTTCTTTAACATTTCTTGTTATATCAGCTGAAACCCACATTACTTGGATGCCCAGAATGATTACCAACTCAATTTAGAAGAATGTGGTCTCACAGGTAATTTACAAGCAAAACAGATTTCATTTTGGTTATCACTAGATACTGGGAAGCATGCCCTAAGGAAGTTTGTCCTTGTAAAACCAGCTAAACAGGGTAAAAGTGTTATTACCAGGGGACCAAAAGAAATTAAAAATCATTTCTTTTCTTTTTTTGGTAAAATTGAATACAAGCTTACTTATTACATTTAAAAAAGCGGTAATTCATGTATACAGATCAAAACAATAGAGAAAGATATATGTTGAGATGTCTCACTTCTACTTCCATCCCCATCTGGCCTGTTCCCTCTTGCTCTTTTATTAATTCTGTTTTTAATCCTTCCGGTATTTCTTTATGGTAACAAGGGCAAATATACATATGTCTATATATTCCCCTATCCTCATTTATTTTTATTTTTAAAAGATTTTATTTCAAAGAGAGAGAGAGAGCCTGTGTGCGTGTGCATACGTGAGGGGCTGTGCAGAGGGAGAGGGAGAAGCAGACTCCTCACTGAGCATGGAGCCCCTTGTGAGGCTTGATCCCAGGACCCTGAGATCGGGACCTGAGGCGAATGTAGACCCTTAACTGACTGAGTCACCCAGGCACACCCCATCCTCCTTTACACATACTATCCTGCATTCTGTTTTAATACACCCTGAAAACCATACTGTAGCATTCTTTATTTTTTTGAAAATATTTTCAAAATATTCTACAAAATGCTCCCAGTTAAGGTTCTTCAAAATCTCTACAGCTGTACTACTGGGAAAGTGTTCTGGACAGTTCTTTCGTATCAAGTCTTATAACATTTTATTGAAGAACCTATATTATTTTTCTATTTTTCAATGACTCACTGAACTCTCTCGGTATGATGTTATTTTATTATAACATAAAAAGTTAGAAAAGTTAGAAAGAGGTACCTGGGTTCTACAGGGAAACACCTCTTCCCCAGACCCTCCTCCCGCACCATCTCTGCTCCTCTGCATACTTTAACTTCTGACTCTACTCTTACTACTTTTTTTCCCCCAACTTTTCATTTTTTCCTTTTACATACTCTATCAACTAATGTGGACTACTGATTCATTCACCAAATATTTATTATAGGTCTTCTACTACTATTATTATTACTAGTAATGGCTGCTAACATTTATCGAGCACTCATGAATCAGGTATCCTACCAGCTGTTTTACCTGCATCATCATAATTAATTCACTGTGGAGTTTTTTATTCCCACTACACAGGTGAGAAAAATGAGGGTAGAGAGGTTAATTAATTACTGTTAGTAACTGTTAAAACTTGAACACAAGTCTGCTTATCACCAAAACATACACTATTTACTATTTACTTTTAAATTTTATTTTTACTTATTTATTTCTCCCCAATTTTACTAAGGTATGATTGAAAAATAAAAATGGTATATATTTAGGCTGTACATCTGATTTTTTTTTACAAGTAAATACAATATTATGATTTAATATACATTATGAAATGATCACCACAATCAAGTTACTCAAAGCACCCACCACTTCACAGCTTCCCCCACCCCCATGTGTTTCTTCAGTGATGGTGAGAACACTTAAGATCCACTTTTTGTGAATTTCAAGGACACAATACAGTATTATTAACTCAAAACATGCTCTTAAACACTATACTATAGAAAAAGCCAGGCGTGTTCAGAGAATTCCAATCAGTTGAAGACGTCTGCAGCATGGGGTGTGAAGAGGAAGGACGAGGCAAGACAGCAGGCTGCAGAAAAAGGCAGGATTCCAGATCACAGACCTAGTACACCCTAGTCACGATGTATGAACTTTATTCTGAAGGGTATAGGAAACAATCATGAGGTTTTTAAGCAGGTAAATACATGACAAAACCTGCATTTAGAAAGACACTTAGTCAGAAGTGAGGTGGATGGACTGGAGAGACCAAAACCGGATCAGACTAAAGGCAAGTAATTAAATGTACAGATAAAAGCTGATGAGGGTATGAACAAAATGTAGTCACTTGGCATCAAATACAGATGTTGAGCCTTTAAAAATTTCATGCAACTTCAAACTTTAAAAATAATTTGTCAAGTAAATACATCTGAGCCAAAATTATTTTTTATAGCTCTATTTTTATAGCTCTATAGCTCTATTTTTAACAAGCTGGAAGATTTCTAGTTTATCAAATGAGAAGACACAACTATCACTAAATATTTAGAATTATGGATTTCTAAAATTGTACATACAAGAAAAATGTAAAAATTTATTAGATGGTTAGTGATATTAATTGGAAAACCTTCAGTTCAAATTAAAAATATATAAAAACATGTTTTGTTTTTATATATTTTTGACCTGAGGCATTGTTGAAGTCCAATTCCTTTGCTTTACAGACAAGCAAACTAGAGGATAAAGAAGGCATATTACTTACAAGATTGGCTTGGGGTGCTCATCTGGGATTAGAACCCGTGTTTCCTGAGTCCTTATTTAATGACTTTCTCACTTTTATATGGAGATGTGGAATTAAAAACATTTTGCCAAAACAGGCGGGGTGTCGGGAGGAGTGAAGCAAGCTCACAGTAAGTACGGACCACATACCAATGCTTTCTACTGGGCTCCCGTTTAGTCCTCACGCCTACTTTACAAGGTAGGTATCATCTGTATGCCAGAGCTGAAACACCTATTAAAGACCACCTGACGATCAGACACCAAAGTTCGTTTCTTTTCATCACAGCACACTAATGCCAACAAGAGGTAAGAGCTTTCTTCCAACGTGAAAAAAACAACCACCCAGGTTTGTATGAATGAGTTCAGAAATCAATGCACACTGACCTGTAACATGCACCTGGATACAACAACTTCAGGTACTTCAGGGAATTTTTGTCGCAGGTCATTTAAAACCTGAAAATCAATTTGGTGGCTTCCTTGGGCCATTCGTATATTGCCTGATCAGGACTATTTGTACAGTAGGCAATTCTAGGCCTTAGTGGAAATAGTACTCATCTCTTCTGTCCAAGCATTTTCTGTGAAAGAAAGAAAAAAAATTTTAATGACAACTGATTAGAGAATGAATATTGTTGTGGATTTAAAATTTCGATACATAGGGTACGTGCTTTAGTACCGAACATTTAATATAAGTTATCAAAATATTATTAAGTCCTATAATGCTTTCCATACAGTTGTTGTCTTTTCAATTTGTAACTCTTGCTGGCAAACTAATTCCTATCTATTTGTATGCTTTATGATGGCTGTTCCAAAAGCTTTTAAGAAACTATTGTCAAGGATGTCTTCCCTCATTCTTCTAAAAGGGGAAAATGAATAACTTCCCTAACATTTTTCTTAATAATCTGAGGACAGCCTGAGGTGCATAATCTTATTTACTCTACCTATTATTTTTAAAGTTTGGATCCTGATAAAGTCTGGTTCTACAAACGACTTTGCATGCTTTGTCTAAAAATGATCTATAACCCAATGTGTTTGATATCTTAATTTTCAGATATATTTAATCCTTAAATGTGCAATGAGTTAGCAGCATTTTACTCCGTTTCTAATAAATTGGTATTTAAAAAATACTAATGCTTGAGCCTCAACCCCAAAGGTCCTGATTTAACTGGCTGGGGAGTAGCCTGGGCACAGGGATTTTTAAAACTTCCCCAAGTAATTCTCATGTATGGCCAAAGCTGAGACCTACCTACCTTGTTTTTATTCTTAATGCAAACCATGTTTAATCTTGAAAAACTCTTTGAGATATAAATAGTATGTAAGTATATTTAACCTAAATAACATATTAAAATATCTATCATGCTAGTTTCTTAATCATTTCAGTTTATGATAAACTTAACAAACAAGACCATCTCTCTAAAACAGATTTCTTATCTGTAGTATTTCTCTTTTAATTTTAACATAAGCTTAAAAAAAATACAGACCCGTAAACCCCACAAATATAGGAATCAGGTCTCTTTTGTCCCTTTTTGCGTAGCTAGCACTGTGTAGGTGTTCAGTGTTCAGTGTAACAGTAGATATTAAAGTATTTTTTATTAAATTTAGTTAAGGAAGAACTCCTGAGTCCTCAATAGAATATAAGCTCATTTAGATATACATAGTAAAAAGCCTTTCAGCTTTTTATTATTTAATTAAATTCCTTAATTCTATGTGACTTTTCATAGGTAAAAGCTATAGTGGGTTATAGAAGAAAAGAGAAATACTGAAAATTAGTAAATGATACTTAAAAGTAAATTAAAGCGTGATTAACAGTACTGCTCAACCTGAAAAGGCCATCCTGGACTTCCCTTCAGCTATCAGCTCATTTCTCTGCCCCTTCCTTCTCTTGGGCGAAAACTACTTGAAAGGGCTGTTTATACGTGTATCTTTCTTTCCTCCCTTCTAATCTCTTTGAAACCTACCCCAAACAGGCTTTCCCAGTTTTTCGCCACCGAAACTATTCTTATCAAAGCTGGGGGAGAACTTCAGCTGTCAGACCGAAGGAACAGTCCTCAGTCCTCAGTCAACCTATCCCTCTTTAAACAAGGGCTTCACTTGGCTTCCGAGATTTATACTCTTCTGGTGTTTCTCCTACCCACTGGCAGCTCCTTCTCAGTTTTGTCAGATCTTCTTCCTTTTCTGGACATCTAATGTTGGTGGATAATGGAATTCAGATCTAGGGTTTCTTTTCAACGATACTGATATTCCTCTGCAGGGTAGTATCATCCAAATATACTGCTTTACACAGAGGCTTTGCAAATTTATTTCTGATTTAATAAATAAATAAACTTATTTATTTTTGCTCTCCCTTGAGTTCCACACTAATATAGCCAGTTAGTTACCTGCCTCATGTCTCCTACTGGACATCTAAAACTCACTTTAACTGAGTATGCCCAAAATTAAACTCTTAACTGTCCCCATCCAACCAATCCTTCCACAGTCTTTTTCATCCCAATAAATGGTGCCATCATATATCCAGGTGATCCTTCTTTCACATCCCATATCTAATCCAGCATCAAGTCTTGTTGGTTTTATCTGTAAACAGTATTTCGAATCGGACCACTTTCCCTAACCTGTTACTGCTCTCGTCTGAGCCACCCCTATAAGTCACCTAGACTGCCTAGACCGCCGCAGCAAAGGTCCCTTAACTGGTTTCCTCCCTGCCTTCACTTTCTGCTCTACCCCTGCCCCTCACTCTATTGAGCGAAGTGACTGATCTCTGTGAAAAGTAAATCAGGGCAAAATCCCTTGCTTGAGATCCTCCAACACCAGGCCCCCGGCTAACTCCTACCACTCAGACTTCACTTCTATCAATCTCCCAGTTCCCTCAATTCGGGTTAGTTCTCAAAAAGGCCATTCTTTCTTCCCTCAGGATTTTTGTACTTGCTGCGCCCTCTACCTGGAACATTTTACCCTCAGACACTAGCACGGTCCCTCTCCTACTTCATTACCATCTCTGATCAAATGTCACTTTCTCAGAAACAGTTTCTTTGACCCACCTCTCCAAAATAATGCCACAATTGTCTCCCCCCGCCCCGCCCCATCACATCCTCACACCCTGCTTTTCTTCATAGCATTTGTCAATACCTGATATGTATTTATTCATTACCTATCTGTTCCCACAATGTTAACTCCACAGGATCAAGAACTTTGAAGTTCACTGCTACATCCTCAAGATGCAGATCAAATGCAACATTTGTTGGATGAAAGGAAGGTTTTACTGTATAGTTTCTTCATATTATTTTATTTCTAAAACACATTTAAAATGATTTAGATTTGGAAATTTTTACACAATTTGAGGAGAGGCAAATAAATAAATTTTTATTCTAACTGAGTTAGACCACCTTTATTAAAGGAGGATGAATCACAAATATAACTTTTGACTGATTCCATTATTAAAATATACATTTCCAAGATTCTTTGAAAAACTCTTAATCACACCTGCTTTTCTTATAAAAACCATCAAGTGCACAAACAGGAAAATTGTTCAAATGTACAACTGTATTTTAGTGATTCCACTTCCTGTAATGGCCGAGTAGCTCATACTAGATCAACTCTTTCATGAACAACTATAAACACTAAACAAAATATAAAAACAACTACTTGAAGGCAGAAAGCATCAATAACAATAGAGGGATGGTGGGGAGAAGGGAGTCAGTATTTAGAAGGTAACAGCATGGGGTGATTTTCCCTTTTTTAAAGGAATTGAACCAGAGAACAGGTCCCAGCTGGTTTGGGTGCTGAAACCTAGACAGAAAACCTACAGGCCTACTTGTTTAATGAACCAAAGGATAGACTCTGGCATAACCACAACAGCTGAAAACCTAGTAAGTAAATCACAGAAAGAGAGGAGCACCCAATCCTGTGTATAAATTCTGCACACATCTCTGATCCACAAACTACACACATGTGGGATTCCAAGCAGCCCGGCCAAAGCTAAAATAACTGAGATTTCAGAGTCTCTAGTTGGGAGTTCAGCAAAGTTAACTGCCTACTAATGCAAGCAAGCAAGCAAGCAAGCAAGGAAACCAACCAAACATCAATACTCACAACTGGACGAACACAACAGAATCTAGCATCTTTATACGTCATTTTCATAAATACACGTAAAGAACAGGAAAAACTGACCCATACTTAAGAAAGTAGGCAACCCAGGGAGACCAAGCCCAAGACAACCCAGACACTAGTATTATTAGTGCATAAGGATTCTAAAGCAGCTGCTCTAACTATGCTTAAAGATAAGAGGACAAATATGCTTGGATCTCAGTTAAAGAAAAAAACAAAACAAACAAACAAACAAAACACACAACCCCCAAACCAGAAACTGTATTTAAAAAAAAAAAAATAGAAAGAGAACTAAACTCAAATTCAACAAGTGAAAAATAAAATATCTGAGATAAAAAATTCACTGGATGGATTTAACCACATACTGGAAATGACAGAATAGTCAGTGAACTTCAAGACAAAGCAAAAGAAACTGTTCCAAACTGAAGGATGGTGGGAAAAAAAAAAAAAAAAAAGACTGGCGGTAGGGTGGGTGAGGGGAGGAAGAGAATCTCAGGGACCTATGGGAAAACATCACAAAGTGTAAGGTACCTGTAACTGGACATCCAGAAGGATAGGGGAGAGATGGGGTAGAAAAGAACTATTTGAAGAGATACTGGCTAAAAATTTCCCCAAGTTAGTAAAAGATATAAACTTACAGATCAGGAAGATCTTAATCACCTCCCCAGACACCCTGGTGGCTGCTTTTGGTTGGGGGGGGGGGGTCATCCCACACATAAGGCAGAAGATGGTGGCTACAAAGACAACAAAAAAAGTTGCTGGAGTCAATCAATTCTAGGCTCCAGATCAACTCTAGGCTCTAACTCCTCCTGAAAAGTGGAAAGTGCTTGCGGGGGCAGGAGCAGCCTGTAAAGATGATCAGACAAGGCCAAGCAAAACTGGTCATCCTCTCCAACAACTGCCCTGCTTTGAGGAAATCTGAAACAGTATTATGCCACACAGGCCAAAAACAGTGGAAACAGTACTGTATTGGGCCTAGCATTTGGAAAATTTTGCTGAGTATGGACTGGTTACCACTGATCCAGGTGATTCTGATATCACTGGAAGCATGTTAGAACACACTGGGGAAAAGTAAATCATGCAAAATGTTTTACAAAACCGACCAGAGCCTGTTTGAATCAACAACAACAACACAAAAACAAACAAAAAGAAGATCCTACTCAAGAATATCAAAGCCTGAACAGGTTAGACTCAAACCTTAAACAGGAAAAGCCCAGGAAAACCACGCAAAGGCCTAACTGTCCAACTGCTGAAAATCAAGGAAAAATGTTGAAAGCGGCAAAAGAAATGACAGAGGGGAAGAATAATTCCGGTCATGTCGACTTGTCATCAGAAACTTGGGAGGCCAGGAGACAGTCAAATGACATCATATAAGTGCTGAAAGAAAAAACACCAACCCACATTCTATATCCAGTAAGAGTAAACTTTAAGGACAAAGCAAGGTAACTGTTTTTAATGTAGCCTTTGTGGTGAGTAA